TTTGGAAGACACTGAGTCACACAACCATTAAAATTAACACAATTGTGGCCAGCAAGTGCACATGAAATACATCCAAGCTGGTATGTAACATCATCACTTGCTAATCTGTGCTCTCACAGAACACAGTTTTGCTGTCTGCAGCATATAGTGTCTTGGCACCCGTTCCTAAATATGTCTGACATCTGACCAGGGATTATCCCATTGCCCCAGTTTCTCAGGGAGCGGTGATGTGCAGGGAGCACTGTGTCACACACAAACCACATGGACTACACAAAGATGTGTGTGTGTGTGTGTCTTCTTTTAAATATGGGTTCATGCACAAATCTTCACACATATTCACTTCAGTCTGTGTGCATATGTTAATCTGCTTCCAAGCATAACACTGCTTTCAGTTACTGAGTGCATGTCTGTGAGTGTCTAGAGATTAAAGGTAGTTAGAATAACAAAGTAGGCATGACAAATTAATTGCACACCCCTGACCTAATGAGTTTTCTTTCCTGAAATATAAATAACTACCCAGGGCAAAACACACGGTTGAGAAATACTTCTGCCTTGTGAAATAAAAAATACCGCAGAAAGGCAGATTATTATGCTCTGCAGCCGCTCCCTGAGAGGGAGACATGACTTACATCCCTTGACCCAGACATTTTGTCTAAATAATTGAAGTGTGCTCACTATTTTGAATTTTAAATGCACCAAACTCAGCAGGAGTGCCCCAGCAGCAATAGAGGTCTGTGGACCAAACTGACATCGTCCTTAAATGCATGAGCGGGAGAAACTAGGCCGAAAAACACACACACACACACACACACACACACACTCTCTCTCTCTCACACAGGGAGACATACACACACACACTCTCACAGGGACACACACATATACTCTCACAGGGTCACACACACTTTGATGCATTAACATTTCAACATTTATATGCTGATTTATTTTTTAACAAACTAGACTTACATTTTAGCAGAGTGCTTTTAAACATACTATATATTCTGTGGCCATCATTGGCTCACTATTTAAGCCTGTTGCTGTTGCCTTGACTCAAAATGAGAGAGAGGGTCCATTTGGAAAGCCGTTGAGTGTTGTGATAAATTGAAGGAATTACCTTAATATTTGTCTTGGACAGTTTAATATCCTTAAAACATTTTTCCAAATGTCTTTCTGATTCCTTGAGTTTCTTGGTAGCAGTTTTAGCCAAAACTCTTGGAGCTCCCCCTACTGACTGACTGCAGAATAGGCCACAAGCACCGCCTCCTCAATGTGTACAGATGAGACGTGGGTCAAATTATAAAATGAATATACACATCAAATACATTTTTCTCAAACATCCTGTCATCATAGTTATTATTATATTATTTTAAGTGCAAATTTTTCTTCTTTCTGAGAATTGAAGTTGTAATTGTTGCTCAAAAAATGGGGGAAATGCGTTGACAAATGAGGCTCCTGTAGAGCTGTTTGCATTGGATAAGCAGAGCAGAGGGGGAATCGCACGAAAAACTCTACAAATCTCAAGACAAGACTCATTAAAAGTTTATAACGGAGCGTTTCCACATCAAACTGACACAAGAATCTGATGTGCTGTGAGTGTACAGGCCTCAGGGACCTTTGCCGTGTTGGTCTGAGCTGCAGAGTCACCTTAAATTAGAGCCTTTGGATCTATGTTCTGTCTGAAAGTTTAATGCTGCTGTCTTGTCCTTGAAAAATAGATCTTGTATCTCAATGAGACTATTTTCCTGCTAAATTACAGGTAAAATAAATAAATAAATCAGTTACCTAAATGAGTGTTTTAGTTTGTGAATGGGGCAGGACGTCAAAACTGCAGCAAATCTTGTAAGCACAACTCTGGCTCTGAATGATGTCACCAGCACGATATGCCAGCACCTGTCACAGGGTCACAGGGTTTCACTTTTGTACAAGGTGAGGAGGAGAGATGCTAGTTAAGCGGGACATGTCCCTACTTGTCTTCACACTTGAAAAAAACAAACTATTTTCTATTTTCTCTTTTCTGCTTATAACTGCATCCTTCATTTCTCTACTGCTCTCAATTCTCTGTAAGAGACAGAAAACGTTGATGGTATGTGATTCATAACATGACATAAGTAGTTGTTGTCATACAATTTATGCCCTGGAGAGACAGGGACAGTCATGAGACGTGATCAATGTTGTGAAACACGCATAGGTAAGATTTATGCACCAAAACTATTTGCAAGATTAAGACAGAGATCCTGGTTGGGGTTAAAATAATTATCCTTTACTAACACAGCCAATTACATTACCATGCTGCAAGTGACAAGACAATAGTGACAGTACACCTGCCTTTGTGCACATCTGCCTCATACTATTTTTACCAAAACTCTCATCTCTGCCTCTCGATCATTATGGCAAGGCAAGGCAAGTTTATTTATATAGCACATTTCAACAACAAGGCAATTCAAAGTGCTTAACACGGTTCCTCTCCCCTTCTTGTAATTCCACTTTGCGTCTGTCGCCCTCCACTGCTTCTCTCTCCTCGTCTTCCTTCTGTTTTTCTCTCCTACACCTCCGAGGGACAACAATCACAGCAGGGGGAATGGCTGAGGGTAGAGATGGAAGTGTAGAGCACGAGTGACACAGATGGCCATGTGTATACATGTTTGAGCGCATGTGAACCTCTCATATGTGTTTGTGTGTCTGCATGTGGGTGTAATAGAAAGACAGGCTGAAAAACAGGGAGTACAGAGGAAAAAACACAAGTCAGCACAATGCATTTGGCATTGACAAATACTTATGTTAACTATTCACTTCAGCTTGAGTATTTGTTCATATATATTCCCTTAGCAAATTCATATGTATTTATGTCTAATCTATGTCTACTAGAAGAGGCCCAAGAGCAGCTTCGCCCAGTTCTGTGTAGATATTCTGAGATCTGCCATATTTTAAACAAATCCCTGTGCAAACAAAAGCCAAATGTTTCTCAAACATTCCTCTCTACTTTGAGAAAAACACCAACAACGACCTGTCTGCAACAATCAGTCCTCATTCACATCAATATCTAATATCCTGCTCTGTCAGAAATTAAGTGTGAATTATAGTACTGGAAGCTATTTGCTGTCATAATTAGAGTGCCAGAGAGAGGATTAAGCCACAGTTCATCCCATATCTGATTGCCAATTGTCCCTCGAAAGTAATCAGGGCCATAAGGTCTTTCATAATGAATGGTGTAATAAGCTTGGTGAAGATTGTGTGCTTCTGCAGTGCAAAATGGACCTTGAATCAAGCACTTGAGCTCATAATAGGGAGCTGAAAAGATCATACAAGGTAAACTGTCAGTCATTGTTAAGGTGACACATCGGAGGCAAGGTTTTCTGTCACCTTTTATATCTTTTATTATACTTTAAACATGTCTGCCTTTAGTTAAGTCACGGCTTATTTAAAAAGCAAACTTTGTCTTTTTTGCTGCTGACCTTTGTTGGTGTTTTTGAAGGAAAAGACAACTACTTACCTTCTCTTGCCCGTGTGACGCCACCAGCTGCTTCTCTGCACCTAACCCCTCACTTCACAACATGTCAGCTCTGTGTTAGCGTTGTGCAAGCACTGCATAAGCAACCATCTGTCCAATTCTGTTTGAGTCCATTTTGTTTTATATTCACATGGGAGTAAATGAAACAGCAAACATCAGGAAAATGTCTTTTATGATCAGCATTTAAGTATCCATTTTAAGTGTTTACTGTTGTGAGTTTCTGTGACAGTTCAGAAGCCATTTAGTACCTGAGAGTTATTACGTTGGCAGCTCAGCAGTTCTGCTAGCTACACTGGAGGTTTGAATGTTCAAATAAAGCTGTTTAGGCCCATGACCTTGAAGGTGTTTCATCTGAGAATAAGTGAGAATTAAAAAAATAGTTCATGTTGTGCTTGAGTTTCAAGATTTGTAACACATTCACACAGCTATTTTCTCATATTCATTGTGAAGTGAGCACTGTTTCACAGCCATAAACACACAAAAAAAAACAGTTGTCGCTGGACTTCAGCTGCATACAAGTCCAACTCTCATTTGTGAAAGCAACAAAGCTCTCCACTGGCCCGCCTTCCCTCAGGTATCCATCAACTACATCAGGAGCCAGAGCTTTACATTCCAAGTGCTCTTTGCATAACCTAAGTGCATTTGTGTAGTCTTATTTTTTCTTCTTCTTACAGGAATCTTAAAGACTGTTCCCTTTATGGTGTCACTGAAAGCGATTATTTGTGATTTATGTATGAAAAATAACTGTATATAACTGTTGCTACAAGCATCGCTTTCTTCACCCTTTCAATGCTTCAGTGAACATATTGATAAAATGATGAAACAAAGCTGTGTTTTGTGAAATGTTGATGTTGTCATGGTATTTTAGCCAGTCGGAAAATTAAAGGCTGAGACCTTTAAAACATATTTTTCTTGTGCTAATTTAATGTACTTACTTACAGAATGCTTTAAAACCTGGACAGTACATTTGTTTCTATTTGCCAGTGTATCACAAATGATATTTTCATTTTTTCTCCTTGTTGTTCTCTACTTCTGTTTCTTCATTCAGCGGCTGTTTCTCAGCCTCACTCTTGGAATCACATCCGAGAGCTGACAGATTCATTAAAATACAAGCCTCTAATTAGGAAAGCCAGCTATTCTTATCACTCACTAAGTCACAGTACTGCACATAAAATACAGAGGCCTTTCCTGCCAATCACAGTGGACTGGGTAGATAATATTGTACCCAATAGTCATTACAGATACAGGTAGTTTCTGCTGTCAATCACAGGTGCTCATCATTACAGCCGACAAATCTGCTCCCATGCAGCTCTGTAACCTTCTGTAAATTCACAGAAGAATACATATTGAATGTAGTATGAATTTGAGTAGGAGTACGAACATCTGAAAAGTAGAACGTGCTGTATGAGAAGCGGTCACGGTCACTGCCTCAAGGACACATTAGGTGGTGTGCGGAGGCTAAAGACACGCAGCAGTAAGAACACAGGAAGACACGCACAGGTCACAGCTTGTTTTATTTTGAATTCAAACCAAGAGAAGAGAGGAACAAGGATGCACAAATTACATCAAGTATCGCTACATATCAACTAACAACATCACAATACCCCATAAAGGCGCTCTTGACAACAGATCCAACATTGCAAATTGAAAAATAACAGTAGATGGGAAAAAAAAAGATTGGCTGCAGTTTAAGCCCATCGATAAACATATTAAAACACAGCTGAAAACAAACAGTTTTGGCAAGATATGGTCTTATGCACTGGTATTTCCTTTTCCATCTGCAATGTTGTTTTTAATGGAGCAACAGGACTGGCAGCTGAAGCAGTATGTAAGTAAACTGTAGGTTTTGTGAAAAAAAGCAAGGATAACCTTCTAATAAAAGCTACTACAAGAGCAAAAACACAAAACTAGCTTGAACGCACAATTGTATGTACAGTTCACTATGGGATTTCAAATGTAGAGCACAGCACATGTCATGTTATGAAAGCTATCAAACAGCCATGATGGAAAAATTCATTCAATCACCTCCGGATTTGGAAATGGGCGTAGAAGCTTCCTTGGACAGTAAAGGTGAGATGTTGTGTTTGAAAATGTGTTACGGCAAAACCAGATCATGTTTAGTTTTTTGTTTCCAGTAGGCTGTGTATGTGTGTGTGTGTGACAGAGGTGACTGAACTAAGCAAGAAAGCAAGCGGGCTGTAGATAAATATACAGTAACTACAGTATATGCACTAGAAAAACAAAAGAGTGGATATCCCAGAGGTTCTCACCATGAAGATGCTTGAATTTCAGCACTCAGTTGTGTCTTTTTACAGATGAGTCAGATAATGAAATAAAAATCATCAATACATTACAGTTAAAAAATAAATATAACCTGACAGTCAATAAATAAATCATAAACTAGAGGTGGGGAATAGGCATGGTAATGAGAGAGCAGACTTTGTGTGTGTGTGTGTGTGTGTGTGTGTGTGTGTGTGTGTGTGTGCGTGTGTGTGCGTGTGTGTGTGTGTGTGTATCAGCAGACAATGATAATCACAAGAGAGCAAAGGTTCAATGGTTTCCCTTGATAATAGATTGAGCACAAAAATGGGAAGTCGATGTAAATCAGACAATAACCTAGCATGTTCTTTGTGTGGATTTGTCTGCATGCATGTTTTCTCTCTATATCTGCATTATATACTGGTTTTGTGTCTCTTTTGTCTATTTCAAAAATTATTACCTACATATGTGTGAATGTGTGTGTGTGTGTGTGCGTGTGTGTAAGCATTGATATTTTCCTGTCTCTGTTTTCTGTCTGCATGTGTTTGTAGTTGTGTACAACACCCATTAAGCGCTCAGCTAACTCAGTGACCCTCGCCAGCCGGGGGTTTAGCGTCACGCTGCTGCCCCCCTGCTCCTCCAGGCAGCCAGGGGGAGACAGAGTGCGAGGTGGTCTGCTTGGCCATGCTGTAGTGGCTGATCACTGTGTAAAAACGGCCCCTCGAGTTGGCATCCTGGGCAGCGTAGTAGGCCTCAAGAGAGGCTGGGATACACCGTTTGTGCTGTGAGGAAGAAAAAGAACACTGGGGTTAGGAGTACTGTTCAATTCATTCACAGGTAATGGTGCTCGCAAAGGTGGAACTGGATAAAATCCAATTAACCATTACAATGAGGCTTGATGATTAAGCAAAAAATATCCAAATGCCATTTTTTTCTGACCCCTGCACTTGGGATTACTAATTTCCAGAAGTGCAGTTTCAAATCTGTGGTTTCATACTTTTCAACAAGGTGTGTCTGTGCAAAACATAATCCCATATTTATCTTGTATAATATTACGGTTCTTGCTGTCAAGGCCCTCTAGGGATATGTAGAGTATACCAGTTAGCAGGATAAAAGTCAAACTGACACATTTTTTTTCCCTCTTCTCTTGGAAATAAAACAGTTTAGCATGTTCTAATATATAACTGGACTGCTACAGTATACATAAGCTAATTCACACTGTTGTGAAGGACATCAATGGCGTCATGTGGTTGCATTATGGCACACGTTTTCTTACTGTATTAACGAATAATAGTCCCTTAACTTGGTTAAGATTTTTGGACTCAATTCTGTGCCTCAGATTTGAACTTCTACATCTCTGTAACAATAATGGACAGTGTCCAATTACACATTTAACCAACCTACTCTGTAGGAAAACCTTTGTGTTACTGTATCACAGTCTACACTGAAAAGGCATGACGAGGGGACTTTACCATGTTACCATGGCACTTTTGGAGCATGGGGGCTGCCCAAGTTGACTTGTGAAATATAATTAGGTATTTACATTACTTAATAATATTCAGATATGATCTTCAACATGAACTGTTCAATGTATAATAGAATGTAGGAGAGAGGCTCTTTATACCAATTCCTGGCTTTAAAAAATCTAGGAAATAAACATTGAAAGAACATTGGGGGAAAGCATTTAATCTTCAACCGAGTGACAATAAAGGTCTTACAAACTGAAGACTGTAAACTAACATGTTGCATCATAGAGAGAATAGAGATTAAACATGATGCTAATAAAATAGATATATGTAGACATAGAGCTGAGGGAGCTCACAGTCCATGATATAGAGTATAGTTTCAATCTGTGTTTCACTGGAATATGCTTGAGTATACTTTAATGTCGGTGAGCCCTAATGTGTGACTGAGCGCTCGCTAGCCTATGCACATTTCTCAATTGACACTTCTACAGCAGGTGAACGTACATGTGACACTTCTAATAATACCCCTGCAGCCTGCAGTCAGAGCCCCTGCAGAGGCTTTGGGCCTGAAAGTAGATTTATTCCACCTCAAAGACAGATTTGTCCTAAGACACAGACGTCCAAGGTGACCTCTCAAACTCCTGTGAAACTTAAAAGTGCAATGCAGAGGGAAACTATAAGTACCAGAGAGAAGAAGAGAGGCTGTCCGCATACACAAACTGCTAACCCTTACAACCCAAGAAATACTGTACACATCAGGACAGCACATTGTTGGATGAGGGTGGTTGAATGAGCCATTTAATTCTCAGCCATATGGGTCAGAAATAACTGACATTAATTTGCAGTAATTATTGTAAAAATGGCAATATGGGTAATTTTCATCTAATAGCAGGCATGGCTGATCAAATAGTGAGCTGCCTCACTTGGGTGTCTTTCTTTGGCTTTGTGACAAGGAATAAAAGCATCCAATTATACTAGATTACTATGGCTTTCACAAATCACTGAAATCATGATTAATAATGCCTGTCTAACCAGTCTGTCATTTACATCCATGACGTAAGGTTAACTTCAGATATGTGGGACATAACTTATGAAGACAATGAAGGGCATGGAAGAGGATTTAGTGCATTACATGTGAAAACTTGTGTAAGGACAATATATTACATTAGAGGTAGCGGAAGGCTTGGTTGATGATCCTTATTGTAGAAAAAAAATCATATGACTCAAAAATGTTTAAGAAAATTGCAGCCCAGAAGCACCTTAACCCTTGTATTATTTCTCCATGTTCAGAAGGGGCTATGCCAAGTAGCCCCCAGCTGTAACCCTATATTCAATGGACAAAGTGCTCTGCCTTCCCATCTTTATCTCAGTCAAAATGCAAATGAGCCTTTTCCTCCAAATTTGGAACTTTTGCTCTAATAGGCAGAAAAAAAAGAGGCGACAAGTCCATTAATTAACTTAATAAATTCAAGCTTTATGTGATCACTCATGCAAAGCTGCAACTTGTTCGGCATCTATTTTTCTGTCTTTCCTTTCTTATATATGTTGCATCAGGCTGTTAAAAGGCCAGAGAGAGTGATCTGAAATTGCAACTTAAGTGTTTCCTGAAACAAATGACGGACAGCTCGAACACATTTTTTATGGTTCATAGCCCAAAGAAAGATTCCAGCCTACCCATTACACATTCAGCTGCACTGTTCACCACCTGACTTCCCCTAGGCTGAGGGTAGGTGTGTTGAAATTCTGTACATTGACATGCAGGTCAGTCATGGATCTTACCTTATAAATGAATCCATCTGGGCAGGCGTGGTCGTAGGTGAAGGCTTTATAAACCACCAGGAACACAATGCAGGCGAGAAAGGCCAGGGCCAGGATGATCAGAATCGTCACCTGGAAGGAGATTTAATAGGTGAGTGTGTGTGGGTGGATGTGGTTTATATACAGCGTATGAGACAAGGTTAGGGTAAGAAGGCTAGAGAGAGATTGAGGATGTGCACTTGTTTGTGTGTGTGTGTGTGTGTGTGTGTGTGTGTTTGTGTGACTCCTGATAATAAATGGTGCAATCAGAAGCTGCATGCTAGGGTCAACAGCTCCCCAATGTGAGGTGTTCCTGTTCAGCTACAAGATGAATGACTCAGTTTGTGACACTTTGTACTGATAATTACAAGACATTTAGTCACAGGTAGGAAACAAACAATGATGATTCCTTTAAAAGAATTGCTGTGTACTCGTTTTCTCGCAGTCTTTGATCTTTTTTTCTTTATTTGTTTACAGTAACTTAGGACAACAGAAGGTATAAAAACATGTTCATATTCACCTACCCTCTAGGTGGCCTGGTTTCAGTTTTTACCAGGAACAGTTTTGCCTCAACATAATTTATACAGATGGCATTAAGTCATGTCATGGGAGATTAAAATGGAGGGCTTTATGAAAACAAGACGTATCAAAATAAGACCAGGCCAAAGTAAATAGTGTGTCAATGTTCAAGTGACTGATATTCTACAATTCACTTGGCAGATGCTTTTATCCAAAGCGACGTACATCAGAGATTAAGTACAACACTAATCCATTCATACATCGCCACCGAAGCAGCGGGAGCAATGCGGGGTTAAGTGTCTTGCCCAAGGACACATCAGACATGTTGCTCAGCTGGGGATCGAACCCTCGACCTTCCTATTGAGAGGCGACGACTCTACCAACTGAGTCACAGCCGTCCATATTACATTGTTTTATTTATTATGCAGAAGCTTTGTTTTGTAAGTACCTTCAATGCATGTCATACAGTGCAACAAGAGCAATCTCACTCAATGACTTAAGGTTAATAATTCATTATTGCATTGTTTTTACCAATTTGAATATCCGCATTAATGAAAATAAAAAGGATTCCCAGAGGTTTTTGTTCATTGTTGATACATTTTTTTTTTTTAATATGTGGAATGTGGGGAAAATGTAATGAATGTTCTATTATTGTATAGCTTGTTTTTAAATCAGCCTCATAAGTCAATTATCGTCTTTCTTGGCTCCAAACTTAATTGTCAACACACTCATCTGAGTGTTCCTCCATGTCCTTTGTGAATGTTTCCAGCTGTTCACTGAGAAACAGGGAAAAAAAAGAACTATCTTTGCTCGTAGTAAATGAGATAGAGGTGACGAACAGATTCATGGAAATTGTTCAGTAGGTGTCTGAGTGAGCAAATCATTTCTCTCGTCGGTGTTCTCAACTAAATTAGAACTAGAACAAACCAAAATGTTCTGGTCAGTTTTCACAACATGTGACTTTGCAAAATGATCCAAAAACACTTTAACAAGTCAAAGATGCATCTGCAGGGAGAACAATGCTTGACAAAAGCCAAAAGCAGAGCCAATCTAAAATTCTGAAACTTAACACATTTTTATGAACACCGGTGCGAGTAAAAATGCTCGTGAAGTTTGAGGTGTGAAATATTCATTTTACTGACAGACATTGACAATGTTGTAGTAAAAGTAGATTAACATATAAAAGGATTTGCTTCCTTCTACCGTCTACTTTTCAAACGGATTGCGCACCTCTGAGTAAGTGTCTAATTGGAATTATGGAAATCAAGTGCAAAGGATAGTTGTGCTAAAAAATGCAATTGTCTGCCTAGTCATAAATGCTGCTGTAAGAATCCGTGTGGTGCATGTCTGAGCCTGGCTTGTATATCAGCTCAAGTGCAAATCTGCTCCTCTGTTTGCCACAAAAAATACCCACGAATTCCCATCAAAAAAAAAAATGCCAACAAAGTCTGACATATTCCACTCGGTGAGTTAAATAAAACAAAATCTTTTGTATTGGATATTGAATATTTCTGATTTTTTTTTGCCTCCAGTTGTAGACCAGCTTGAAAGCGTTTTCCAAGTCACTGCTCTCTGTTTGATCCGTCACAGCAATTAGACATGGTTGTGATCATTAGTCTCCATCAGCATCGCAGGGATGGACAGGGACTAGCTAAGTGACTGTTTACTTGGTGTCAACTGGGGGACACGGCTCTCAACCTTGGTCACCACTGACACCCTTTGTAAATTACATCGCCCACATAACCCCTGCGAACCATTGAATGGAAGCATTTGAAGTCGGGGCGACCCGCCTCTTGGAGCAGAAACAGACGCAGGATGACAGATTTACTCCCTCCCTGATCCTTTTTTTGAATAGTGATGCACATGAAACGGCTTATTAAGAAGAGGGATTACTGTAAAGCTGCTCTCATATCAAGCAGAGAGCAATGTCTGTTTAATGCATGTGGAGACCTGTGACACTTTGAATCATGAAACACAGACTTAATTCACGATTGACTGAAGAGATTTGCTCCTTTAAAAATATATATAAAATACATGCATTTCAATATTTGTTCAGATTTTTACAGTATGTTGTAGCATTCCTAATAACTTTAACTGAAAACCCTGAGTCAAAAGCCATAAATGAACTCTAGCTGTGGCAAGAGTTTAAGGAGACCATGGTTATGACATGACAAAATAACTGTATGGTTACACTGTTCAACAACACCTTTGGGACCAAAATGTGCCCTATACAACATGATGGAATTAACTATGCTTGACTTAAAACAAGTACTTCTCACCTATCTATTCCCCTTATCTGTCCACCTGAAACTGGCGGGTTATATGTATCATCATCAGAGTAGTTCTGATACCAATACTAGCATTGGCAATGTCTGTGATACCAAAAATGCAGTATAGGGTATTAGATATCAGCTACTCTAGTAAGTCAAAAAATGCTACAATCCAAAAGAAAAATAATTGACTTTGAGTTGTATTTATTATCCAGCAAATAATGTTTGAAAGTGGAAAACAGAAAATACAGCAACAAAAATGGCAGTATCAGTAAAACTACTAACCCATACAGGGTTAGTAGAAGTATACTTCTCCTGAAATTATTACTAATATGCAAAGTGAATTGCACTATAATTAACATAAATTTTTAGTCAATGCTAAAGTGTAGGTATCAGAATCTGTACTAGGGGAAAAAATGTTTTGAGATATTTACATAAAATATCAAATGTATTTGCATCACAGACACAAAATGTTTATGTACAAAACATGATTGAGCAAGTACATATTTGTTTTATAAATATGTAGTTGTAACTGTAATTCTAGTCAAACTAAGCCTTGATACAGCCAGTATTAGAGCTGTTTACTGGTTTCTGAAACAGTCCTTGCAAAGATTATCTGACGACTCTTTAATGATGCTTTAAATGAGGCCTGTGCACAGATTGGTGGTATTAACCCCAGCATGGACCGTAAAGCATATGTCAACGTTCAATAACACTTTTGTTGTAGATGCAACACAGCAAAGTCAGTCAAAGCAATAACATAACCCGCCCTCTGTAAAAGAAACAATCACTCCACAATCCCTGCAGATGCAGGCGTGACCATGTGGTTTATAAAGCCATTAAAAATCTATCCTGACCTTTCTTCATTATTCATAATCTGGCTGATCTCCACTGTAAACCTAAGAAGGTCGTCAGGGAGAATTCTATAGCTTCCTCCATGAAGTGGATGTGATGCATACTTACATCTACCAAAGCTAGGCAGATGCAATTTTTCTACTCATGATGTCAACTGAATCTGTACCAAGGGTGCAGACACATTAAGCATGAGCAAATAACCAGAATATAACTAAATACCACAGAATAAATCAGACAAATATATATTTTTATGTCATTCAATACCACTCTCACCAGTACCGTGTGTGTGACACAGAGTATAGACAGGGGTCTTGGCATGGCTATAATTTAAAGAAAAAGACACATCTATTTTACATGTATTGGCTGCATCAGTTAAGACTTGCTGAACTGTGAGGAATTCCATCTGGAACTGAGAGAAAACACTTTTTTTCATACTGTGAAAAAGGATTGATTTACGGAAGCATTTGACAAGGTTTTAATCCAAAACATTGTTTGCCTTTATGAAAGTGAACCTGACAGAAGCGCCTCTCTGTGCAGCATCGCTGTTTAAGATACCACAGTATAAAATTATGAAGACAATATACAGTAGGCCTATATATGATTGAAGTCATGTCAAATGTAATAGATGAAATGAGACCTTGAAAAATGTAAATTTTCATGAAAAACAAATAGACTTGAAACATTAAATAAACCTTTCATTCCAGTGACGTTGATATAAATCTAAATATCTTCAGCCTTTCATCATTTGGCTTGGATTTATAAGGAATTGAGTTTTGATATCTAACACATTTAAATTCCCTGAAATTAACAAAAATGTAGTTTAGTATCAATGTAGGTTATTATCAATGTTCTTCATATATCTATATGAATTCTTTTTCTGCTCTTTGTTTTTTTTGTACATCACTGAACGCTTTCAGTGAGACAGCAGCTGTAGACAGTTGTTTATCATTGGGGCAGACAATCAAAGGAGATTATAAAAAATCCAGTAGGATTGTTCCTCTGTTCACCAGCTCTTCATCTCAGACTGCAGATAACGCAGTCTACTTATCATTAAGATTTACCTGCATCTTTCATACCACAATCCAGCTGTTAGTAATGTCAAACTCTGACCCTGTAGCTTTTGATTTATACAGCTGATATTTTCCACAGGATAGACATGCCTTTAATTAATAATTGTTGTGCTCTGCGTCAAAGTTCAAAAGCTGTTTTCCTGTATGAATGTGTGTCTTCACAGCCTATTTCACCCCAATTCGACATTCAATTTCTCTCCTTTTTTTTTTAAACACCGCACCTTGTTAGAATACAACACATCACCCACGCGTTCACTGCTGGAGCTTGACAAGCCATACGGAGGAGCAGACACCTCCTCCCATTCACTTGAGGTAGAAGAGGAGAATATGTAAGTGTGTAGGTAAGGGGACAAGGGTGTGTGTGTGTGTATATATGACA